ACTCGTAACCCATTTAACGCCACGCGAGCCGATAATGCAAGAGTAATGAAGCGAATATAATATATTCTCAACTTTTCTTACCTTTTCTTACTTATTTTAACGTTTTCGCCTCTACAATAACGCGCGCATCATTTAAGTAAAATGAACATCAAACATCACTTTGGAATACTTTGAATATACCGGGACTCTGAATATCTTCGTTCGACTCGATATCCTCGACTTCCAAACATCCGACAGATTCTCCGTTTGTCCGCTCGAATTGCCAACTTCTTACAGATCGCAACTTTACCGAGAGGACGACAAAAATGTGTTTGCCATCGGTCTTTTGCCTTCTAACACAAAGTTCTAACCGTGCCGATAGAAATTCAAGTGAAAATCTCGGCGTGTCGCAATCGGTTTGCTTTTTGCTAACGGAGATCTTCTCGAATCGACGTGAGTCTTGCGCGCCACTTCCTCGACTAATGGTACTAATGGAATGCGCTAATTAGTTGCCAAAACTTCCGCATGTAAATTCTACTTGAGAGGAAAGTCAGAAATTCTTCCCTCAGAAGTTGCCCTAAACGTTTGATCGGCAAGATACGCGCGATACGCTGAGGCTCCTGAGGAAGAACCTGCGTCTGAGAATCCTTAAAACACTTTGCAAAACAGGTTCGTGCAATATTTCATAAACAAGCACTGAACATTTCCAATTGTACATGTCCAAATATGCCTTTGGAAGGAGAAGCTCTACGAATCGATAGGTGGACCCACGGAAGATGCAGCAGCGACGAGAGTCGTATGAGATCCCGAGAATTTCTGCAATAACTTCTCCCATCCGGAAGTACAACGTTGCGTTTTTCGCACGAAAGCCATTAACGATTTCTGCGGGCGATTCTGCTGGCATGTTACACAATTCTCGCGTTCGCGTCGTTACATACAAACGCGCGTCGCGTCGTTATATCATATAGAACGTATTGCGCTGGATTGTGCGCCGCGTTACATAGATTAAGCTAGACCGACTTTCAGTCTTGACCCGCGATATCGATTGTCGCAATATCCGACCAACGAAAGCTGATGATCGTGTATCGACTTTGTAATGTCGCGTCCGACATGATGTCGCATCTCCGACACGGCAAGCAGTTGTCTCGACCAATTTTTGTGAAACAATGCTGAATCTCTCCGCGTGTCGGATTATCATCGAGTTTGGATCCCTTTTTTTTATAAACCTTGTGGTGTCATCTTCAACAATACACAATAATGCCGATGATTGATGGCGATCATTCGTTTTCATCAAAAGAACGCGTGTCTTCTCCTGCTTACTCCTGCTTTCCAAAAATGAAAGCTGGTACTCGCCTGTAATTGACCCGTCCGAGGAGGACGGGAAGGGGGGGGGGATGGGGGGAGGATATGCCGAAAGAAGAGCGTTAAGCGTCCGTGTGTGGTCTGACGAGGTACGTTCGCTCTTCGACGTTGGTAATTATCTTCCGTGCGAGGATTCTCCCTCTCCTTCCTTGTTGTCCTCCCTCTTTCTCTCTCTCTCTCTCTCTCTCTCTCTCTCTTTCTCCCTGAGATGTTATCGTGATAAGACAAGGTCTGACCGTGCAAACTCGTTATTTATGACCGGTGGTTCTTAAGCACAGTCGCTAATGGGGGATAGGAAAGGAGATCGCGTCTCTTCCGGCATCGTTCCTCCCCATCAACATCATGCATTTCTTGTGCTTACTCGAGCTCATAGCTGGAGTAAAATTTGCTCGATATTTGCTAAGGGGGTAAGAATCCCACGTGGCGCAAAATACGCAAAAAGTTCTCAATATATACCCCAAAACGCTTCGCTTGGACGGCTCGGGGGGCGACTTTGGCGAGAAAGTCTTTCACCCGAATCTATCAGTGAGCGCGCGGTTTGCACTTTGCGTTTCCAGAAGAAGAAGGCGTGTTCGCGAAGATGCGCGCTCGACTCAATCTGTGCCGCCTGTAGGCGGCATATAAACAGGCTATTAAAATTCGCCAAAAATACATTTGCTCAAACAGCGCGTCACGTTTTCGCGTTTGCCGAACGTGTTTATTTTACGTTTCGAATACGATCACGGGCCGGCGGAATCATCTAACACGGTGGAATTCGCCGGAAGAAGAGAGTCTTTTCTCACGAGTCGGAATGCTAGTCGTACGCCGCGATGTATTTCGGCGACATTTTCGGGATTAAAAATTTCACAGACAAATTTGACGAAGCGGTGCGAAGTGTTGTTGTGCATCGTGTGCATGACCGTAAGAATTAACCGACCTATGACCTATGACCTATACATACATATCTTGCAACGTGCTAGCTTCAAGGCGTGAGTCGACCTAACCTTTATTGAAGCCGCTTCCGAGAATTACTTTTACTATAACGGCGGAATGATATATATCAATGGCAAAAACATGAATATTCATAAACATTGTCCATTATTAATTCGCACAATAAAGCCTGTGAATATTTCCCGCGATGACTCGCCGACTCTCTCATCGGTATTGAGGACCACGTTTATTCTAAGGATCAAGTGATCGTTGATGCGAGTGCTTCTCATTATCTCTTGCCCCTGATCGTATCTCTTCATTCTCCCCTCTCTCCCCCCTCAGACACACATACATCCTGCTGTCTCAGCTATTATTTCTATTATCTTTATTATCCTGGATTCGACCATACGGAACATGTATGCGCTGATAGATCTACCTAATTGCTCAGACAGCCGCTTGTCGATGTTCAATTAGACTGTTAATGAGCCCAACTCACGCGAAACGAGGATTTTGTCGGCACAATAAAGCGGGCTCAATCAGGTTTCGCGCGTGCATCGATTAGAGTGCATCGAATCATTTTGACTACGTCCGCGTACGTACGTTAACACAATAGCGACAGCTACAGTACAATAACACAATATCGAGTTCTAAGCGATCTCCATCTTCTTCTTTTCTCCGCAAATATTCAGGAAGAATAATAATATCCACTGTTCTCCTCCTAGAGCTTATCTATTATAATTCGGCCCAATAGATAAGAATTGTAGAAAGTGATCTTTGCGAATAATTATTATTATCTATATCCTCATCGTGACCTCAACGTACCTTTTAATTATTTGCCCAATTTTTTATTTTATCTAACTTAACTTTTCAATCAAAAATTGCTGTTATGATGCAAATGGATGAGATCATTCTCGATGGAACGAAATCTGGCTGGCGTTTCTCCGAAAATATTCATCAAATCTTTGACTATCCACCGATCTGATGTCTTTTATACAAAGTCACTAATTTGCAGTTTTTGAGAATGATTAATTTACTCCAGGCCTTTGAGATACATGAGAATTTCGTAAATCCGACGATTTATATTTAGTTTGCCGACGTACGCTTGTCGCGTGAGCCGATTGTTAAATCACGTCGTAAATAGACTGGCCACGCCGAACGTAACAATTGCACAGCCGCGTGTGTTTTCCAATTTCGACAGAGAGTCTCCTCCACTTAGCCTTTTCATGCCTCACAGATAATTTCCGGAGTAACGATAGACCGAAGAACCTGCCGGGAATACCGTATATGTGCCTTCGTTACCGGGCATTTCAAATCGCGTCGTGCGAGTGTCAATTCGCCGCGGCTGCTACTGCGACACGTGCGATGATGCATGCGCGGCATGCATGAGAAGATGCGTATGCCGCGCGAACGCTGCTTCTCGTCGCCGCTGAAAAAAGGAGATCTTTTCGAGAAAGAGGAGAGAGAGAGAGAGAGAGAGAGAGAGAGAGAGAGAGAGAGAGAGAGAGAGAGAGAGAGAGAGAGGGAGAGAGAGAGAGAGGAGGCGAGAGGGGGAGAGAGAGAGAGAGAGAGAGAGAGAGAGAGAGAGAGAGAGAGAGAGAGAGAGAGAGAGAGAGAAAGAGAGGGAAGAACAACGACGCGCGAGAAGGAATTTACAGCTTCCCGAGAATAATATACGACGCTCAAGCGCGAGGATTAGAAGTAGCGCCAATATATTTCCACCTATTCTCTCTTCGGCTTTCACTGTGTGACGCAACGATCCGATGACCGCGTACGCGCGCTATTACGAGCTTTCTTTCTCGAACGCGGCGCGCGTGCAATGCAGCAGTTTCGTCGCGGACAGGAATGTCCGGAGATAAAGCGCTTCCGACGCGCGTCTTCCTCGGTGCTTTACGGCGCGAGGCACGTTAAACGCGCGCACGAGCACGGAAAGTCAATTTAGGTCGATGAGATCGTAAGATCGCGATTTCACGAACGACAATGAACATTAAATTAATAAGTATGCTGCGCCAGGCAAGAAAAATGTACATCTCCCCACCCCCCCTCCCCTCACTGCCCCCGTCTGCCACGCCTTTTCCATCACATCGCGCGGTGATATCGACACATGGGCGTATATTTCTTTCTCTTTGCCCATTTCCCCATTTGCCTGTTTTTTTTTTTTTTTTTTCCCCGCTGAGAAAGGTATCGTAAAGTACTCAACCGCAACAACCACCACGTGTCGGGACTTCCTCCTTCGTAATTGAATTCGTAATTATTTTCGTAGATCGACATGAAGCTCCTACACGACTGCGAATCAGCGAACCACTCGTAGCTCTCTGACAACGCCGATATTAATCCGCTTAAAATATTGCACACGGTTCGCGGGAAAGTGAGTATCAGTCGAGAGGAAAAAAAGTGTCTCGTTAATTTTTGTTTTCCGGTACCTCAAGGTTAATTTTGTTCGCGATATCTATCATTAAGTAGAAATACGTGTCTCGTCGAATCTTCAATTACAATTCCCGATAATGGTTATCGATAAATCATCGGTATTTTATAAATATAATTTCTAAGATGCATTATCGGGAAATAAAAAACGGTGAGACGTCCTCCTTTTTACGAATATGCTGCATCATACTTGTAGCCATTCAGATATCCTATCGGCATTACCTCAAATAGTTATTTAGTTACCTTATTGTTAACAGCTCGGCCGGTATATCTAATCTTGAAAAGATTTCAATGAGGCAGATAAGAGAGACTTATATTAAGAATTTCATTGCTTCTTCATTGACAAGTTGCTCATTGAAGTCGCAGCAGGAATATCGCGATGCAGAGTCTATTTTTCCTCGTCGTGTTTTGTCTCGTTCCGGCAAGTTTCGGTAAGATCGTCGGACCGGCGCTGGACAGTTTTTCCGATAAACAATAAAAATACGACGGTTTGGACGGTGAAGCAAACGAAGGTCGTTACGTCAGTGAAATTTCATAAGCCACCAAAAGTTGCTTTCTCGAAAGCTTTTTCGAAAGATGCATCATTTATCAAATCGTATTTGAGCGCGACGAGGAGAGGTAACGGACGGTAACATACGGAAAGTTTGCCGAGTGGCTCGAATTGCGCATCTTTGCGATAGCTTCGTTTCCAATTTTCCAACTACTTCTTCCCATGCATTATAATGATATACAAGACAATTCCTCAAGTCATCACAAATTTATCGAGTCATTGGTCATCACGAGATCATCACGCGACAAGACGAGACGAGTTCGATCGCGTTGCATTCTTAGTGATTCACCTAGTGTGATGATGCCGGGGAGTTTACTTTGTCATTCCGTCTAAAGCTCTCGGCAAATATATCTTGGCTGCCTTGCCTCGGTAAACGCGCATGCCACTTCGGCTACCTGTCCTCGCGTCGTCGACTTTCGAATCGACATTGATAACAACACGGCATTTCCGCGATTCGCGCGAAGAAAGGAGATGGAACGAGTCTTTTGCTTTCGCAGATACGTACAGATTACAATTTGTAGGCCTAAGTTTCGAAACGAGATAGCTAACCGCTGAATTCATACGAGTGTGAATCTCGGCGAGAACCTAGCTGGCACCACGTCACGCGCTTTTTTTATTTATTATTATCCATGTTCCACTAATTTATCATTATCCATGTTCCACTAATAAGTCAAATCCTTCGAAGGGAGGACAGGATTCGGCCCCGGAGAGCAAGAATGGGGCTACGTGGAAGTACGTCCCTCCGCGATGATGTTCTGGTGGCTTTATTACACCACGGCGGATGTTAACTCGTATTACGACAAACCACTGGTGATCTGGTTGCAAGGTGGACCAGGTGGATCTTCGACCTCGTATGGGAATTTCGAGGAATTGGGCCCTCTGGATCCTAATCTGAACGCGCGGAATCACACTTGGGTAATCAATTAAATAAGAAAGAAGAACGACTTAAAGAACGATTCAAAGAACGAATCAATCAGAAAGACTCCTCTGCTAAGACTGAACTTGCAAGTCTGAGTAATGAATTATGCGCGGAGATATATAATTCTCGATCTATATATTTCGCAGGTGAAAGATTACAATGTCCTCTTCATCGACAATCCCGTCGGAACTGGTTTCAGTTACGTCGGAACCCAATTGGCATATACGAAAACGAACGCGCAGATCGCGAGCGATCTTGTGGAGTGCATGCGAGGATTCTACAAAAAGTTGCCGAAGTTTCAAAGTGTCCCAACGTACATCACCACCGAGTCGTACGGCGGGAAAATGGGCGCTGAATTCGCACTCGTCTGGCATCGAGTAAGAAACGCGAAAGAAACTTTGATGAATCTTTTTGCCTTGTTGTCGTTTTTTACTTTCACCGAGCGTGAAACAATTATTTCTTTTAACAATTTTCTTCGGCGACGCCACGTGATACGCCGAATGTTTTGCAGGCTCAGAAAGCTGGAACTATTAAGAGCAGTCTGAAAGGAGTCGCGCTCGGAGATGCTTGGATTTCCCCTATCGATTCTGTATTGACATGGGCACCGTTTTTGCTCGATACAGTATGTAGCCTTAAATAATAATAAATAATTCCTTCGAAACTAACGCGCGTATGCTGCCGCTTAGGGTATGGTCGACACGAACGGTTTTAAAGAAATCGACGATGCAGCGAAGGAGACGGAGAACAAAGTCAAGACCGGCCAGTGGAAAGCGGCTACTCAATATTGGGCTTACACGCAAAGTGTCGTTCTGACAAAAACTTACAACGTTGACTTTTACAATATACTCAGCAAGATTAGAAAAGTCAACAGCATAACCGCGCAAGATACATTGTCCTTCGACGCAGGTAAATAATCACGTAACGCGAAATAATGCTGTTACTTTGTAAAAACGAAGTAACGTAAAAAACGGATGTTCATTTCCTTCGGCCCCGAGAACGAAGTCGCGAAAGAAAGGGGGGAAGAGTGAATAAAGAAGAAGAGAGAAGTTATCTCCGATTAGACCCGAGATTAGAGGACGGATCTAATTTTGTCTGCGCGTCCAATTGCAGAAACTATATATCGACGCTTTGTCCAGCCTCGGACAATCTCACTGGACGATTTGATGAACGGCCCGGTGAGGAAAGCGCTCGGTACGATAGCACCTCACGGCGTCCAGTCATCCGCTGTTTTCGACAACTTGAGGGAGGATTTTATGAAACCCGTCACTCGCCAAGGTAATATTCTCGCGCCGCGCGAAACTCGTCGTCGTCGTCGTCGAGGCGAAAGTAAAAAAAGAAAAGAAAAGAAACAAAAAAGAGAGGAAGAAACTAGCGTGAATTAATGACACATTGTTCTCGAGAGCGCGTGTGAAGCTCGACGACGATCGTCGACGAAAGTTACCGAATGTCAATCTCAATGAGTACACGAATCCGCAAGAAAAATCTTCCGTTTCTCGCCCCTTCCCTGTGGAAAATCAAATATGGCGACGTTCTGTTTCAGTGGAAATGTTACTCGACGAGACCGACTTGCGCGTGTTTGTGTACAACGGCCACATGGATTTGATCGTTGACACGCCGGGTGAGTAGTCATTGAAATCTCGCGCGAAGGAGAGATTGATTTTTCACGGCCGAGAGGCGTGAAAAATCGATGAAAAGCCGACTTCTACTCCGACGTCGGCCGTCGCATGGCCCGACTCGCCCCGCGCGTTTCGTCGCGCTGTTTTTCTCTCGAGAGCTCTCGTATAATCCCCTCGATATCGACCGCACGTTACAGGCACTCTCCAATGGGTGGAGAGACTAAAATGGAGAAATGCCAACACCTGGAAAAACTCGATCAGATATCCGCTCATCGGCCACGACAAAGTCATCGAGGGCTACGTAAAAGCCCACGATAACTTCAGGGTGTATTGGATCAACAGAGCCGGACATATGGTACGCCGCACGCACAAGCACACTTTCTCTTTTATTATTTGCGTTCGTACGGCCCCTGCCATCTCTATTAGCCCCGAGCCATAACCGGGAGATTAATTCACCGCGCGAAAAGAATTTTAAATCGAGACTCGCGCGTTAGACGGTATTTGTCAGCCGCGCCGGAGATATACATACGTATATCGATGTCTCACGCTTATGCAAGATAAATTTCTCCTTATCGTAAGATATTTTTGCGGGACGTAATCTCCGACTTTACGATTACGAAGCAACACGCACGCACGGGCATGAATGATCTGCCACACTCCACGAAATGTGTCAGGCTTTCTTCAAGGCATTCTACAACGCGAGTAACACAATTAGAAAGAGTTTATCCAGCGAAGCGCGAATCCTTTGATTTGACGTGCAAAAATACAAAATCACATGTATCATGCAGGTGCCGAAAGACAATCCAGCGGCCATGAAGGTAATACTAGAGGACTTGACGAACATCGCAAAGGACTAAGCAAAATTAAGTTGAAGCTTTTGTTTATCTTAGACATTATATAGATCTAGACGTTTTGTCAATGTACTATTTGTTTCCTAGTATCTTTTTTTTCTCTTTTTTTTTTTTTTATAATATCGCAGTGTTAAAATAGACAATGTCTTGACGTCGTGATTTATTTCATGCAAGATCAGAACGCAAGATGGTGAGCGTATAATTTGAACTCGAGCTCACGGAGCACTGCATTATTTTTAACACGTGTAATATTTAGACGCAAGTCGCACAGATTTCGCATGTATGTACAGAAAATTAATAAACCCACCCACCACCAAAAGTCTTTTGATTTTTGACTCACCAACTATCGGCAACCTAGGATCTGCCTGAACTGCCGGAACAGAAAATGTGGCGTCGTCGATTAAATACAAAATTTAATGACTTAACAAGAAAGGATATTCATGGATATAAACGTGTTAACTGTTTAGGATCGTTGTAACTCAATGATTTTGATCTCGGCACTTGTGTCTCGTGTTTTGCACCGCGTAGGTGTTAACAAGCGCGGCGGTGGATTAAGGGAAATCCGTAAATGCACTTACTTTCAAGCAGACTCTGCTTAGCCCGAGCCCGAGTCCTCCCGGTCCTCCGATGCAGCATTCACATCGGTAGAAACTGCGGCCGTCGCTTTGCAACCGCACCGCTTTGTAACCACAAATTCTGAGACAGGAGAAACCAATTTTCTCGTTAGTTAGTTCATCGTTACATGTCGATCTGTATCGAGAATACAGGGAATATAAAAATACAGCAGCTCGAGTCTGCATGTTTCTCTTGCGAATTGATAAGAATAAGAAAGAAGTGTACTTCTCAAACTCGTCGTCGTCATTATATACCAAACAATTGTTCCCAAAATCACGCTATTTAAAATAGACAAACGGCTTTTTAGCCGATGAGAGAGCGCTTGAGAGAGCTCCGTTACATTATCCATTCATTAATTAAATATAACATATACATTTATTCAGCGTGTTCCATTCATCCTATTGAGCGCGTATACCAATTCCTTTGTCGGAGAAGCGACAAAACTATGTAAAAAAGAATTTGACAAAGATATACCACCGTCACTAATCTCGAGCTAACTTCCGCGACGAATAAAAGTCGTTGCCTCCGCGTCGCGGTCGTGAGGAGATTCAACGAAAAGGGCAGGAGGGGGAGGAGGAGACGGAGAAGGAAGAGGAGGAGGAGGAGGAGGAGGAGGAGGAGGAGGAGAAAGAAGAAGAAGAAGCTTCCGAGAAACCGTTCGGCCCCGGTATAATTACCGCAACATTGTTTATATATTGGCGCGGTTACTGCCGGCGTGGGTGTTGAAACAGCATATGTGTAAACAGCAATAAAACATGTAGTGCGGTCCCGAATAGGTAACCTCCTCCCCACGAAAGAGCGAGAGAAAGAGAGTAAACCAGGGAGTTCCCTGGAAAAGCACGATGGGCGGGGTTGGACCAGCCTTCTAGAGATTCTCGTGTCAAATTAAACATCCTTCGTTACCTCGAGAACTGGATACGACGACGCTCCGACGTTCTCGCTGGAGTCGCCGCTTTTTCCTCGCCTCGGTAATAAGGCCGCTGCGACTCGCGACTTCGTTCTGTGCGATGACCATCTGCGTTATTTGACATTTATTTTCTACAATCTGCACACCGCAAGGAAGCAGGACGGAAGAAGGACAGTTGGAATATTAACAATATATACATGTACTTTGAATCTTGTGGTGCTGTGTTTGCTGTCGAAGTACGGGCTGCAAACTACGACAGCATTCGCTCAAGTCGTCTTCCAATCGCGTCCTAAGGCGCCAAAGACGACGAATTGGAAAGTACGGAAGTCGGATTCCACACGTTGCTCGTGGCAGCGTTTCAGCTAAGCAGGCGCCTTCCTTGCGGATCGTCCTTCAGGGGAATTCCCGATGCAGCCGGATCATGGTGACCCGCAGTTTCGAGGTTTCTTGGACGGTGCGAGGAACGATCGGTGTTACGAATCCTCCTGGTGCACCTCCGTTCCTATGACGAGCGGAGAGCTGATACTCGGCAGGACGTGCGCGATCAAGCATGCCGCCTATGGGCTCGCGAACGTTGTTGTTCCGGGGATGCTGCGAGCCAGCGCTTCCTGCGGGCCGGCGTTGTGCCAAGCGCCGTTCACCTGGATGACACCTGCGATCGCCTGCAAGACGACGCCGCGTTACGAAAAGCCTCCGTATTCGTACATCGCCCTGATAGCGATGGCCATCAATTCGACACCGAAGCGGCGATTGACTCTCTCCGGCATCTACAGGTTCATCATGGACCGGTTCCCGTACTACAGGGAGAACCGCCAAGGCTGGCAAAACAGCATTCGACACAATCTCAGCCTGAACGATTGCTTCGTGAAGATGCCGCGAGACAAGACCGGCGCGGACAATGACGAGGAGGATGGACGAGGAGGCTCGATTGGAAAGGGCAGCTATTGGACTTTGGATCCGTCCGCCAGTGAGATGTTCGAGCACGGCAATTACAGGCGACGCAGAACGAGACGTCAGCAGCGGGTTTTCGCTCGGGAGAAGCAAGACGAACCGGCGGGATTGTCGGTACGGGAAATCGCTCGCTTTTCGCGCGCGCGTACGAGAGAGAGAGAGAGAGAGAGAGAGAGAGAGAGAGAGAGAGAGAGAGAGAACGCAAAGCACTGCTTGATAATTTTGAGACGCGACGACGTGAAAAGAGGAGCGGTTCTGATATTGAGGCGCAGCTTTGTCTGATTACAGGTAGCGGCTCAATTTTTGCCGGGATTGACAAAGCATCACGAGCAGTTTCGGGAACAGCAACGCGTAGTCATCGAGATTAACGAGGAGAGCATCAAGTCGAAGGACTTAAATTGTACGAATTCCTCGGAACCTATCGCCAAAACTACAATATTCAGCATCGACAACATCTTACGAAAGTCCACGAGGGAGGCGCAAATCTAATTTCTTGCGCATACAATTTTTTTTTTATAACTGTTATAATGTTACTTTGACATCGAACACTCGTTCGATCAGACATCCTCTCATGAATTTACTCGCCAATTTACTCGCATCCTTACATTGTATAATTTTTCTCAGCGCGGATTTGCTTTTTAAAAATATTATTTATTGCGACATTCACACATTTTGTTAGCTGTTACCTTTCAGGCTGCTCTTTGTATATATGAGCCGTTTATTTTTAAAGTGATAAGTCCAGTTTCCTCTCGTTTCAAGATATTGTAAACAATGTGGTTGCTTTTTGATTTATCGAAAGATATTAGTGAGCGCCGATAGTATATATTCATGTTGTTTGTAACTATAATTAATTTAATTTATATCAGTTATATACCTTTGGCACAACATCAACTGATAAAAAATAAAGAAATCACATATATTATTATAATACAATAATTTGACAGCTATTTGACAGCTACAGGGTGCCATCTTTTGGTCATTAGATAGAGCGAGAAAGCAACTCACTTCTCACTCTGTCTTAAACTACTTACGGTTTCACTCCACCAACGGCAGATAGCAGCAGATGAAGTCGGAAGTTAGTAGTTTGAGACAAAAATACCGACATAACCTTCTTATCGTTTCACTTTCAAATTACGAAAATGTTTCGTACCCAGTGTAATATACTACAAATTTGTACGCTATAATTGTTTAGAACTATACGTTTATCATACATATGTCGTTTATAAAAATATGAATAGAAGAAATGCGATGCACTCTGGTGTTACAAGCAGAAACTAAACTCCAACAATTCCAACAAGTACTTTACTTTAGAGTAGTGTAAACAGCGTGTCGGTGGAAAAACGTTTTACACGTATAAATAAGTAAATATATATATATATATACATATATACATATATACATATATACATATATTATAAGGAGAGAGTGAGAAAGAATTTATATTGAATCACATAAGAATTAGATAAATTTGGATACATTGAAAAGATACTTTTTAATAAAAAGTTTTTTAATAAAAACACACAAAATAAAGAAGAGTTAAGTCGTCAGTTGCCACTCATTCCTCGAACGTGGTTAAGCAACATGGCAACCGGCGATAACAGAAAAGTTGCTCTGATAACAGGTATCACCGGACAAGTAAGTTAAATAACATATATAATTAAGTAATATAGTTTGACATTTTTTTATTATAATCTCGTTAAATGTACTACATATTACAAGATTAAATTTTAATTGAGTTTACAATTAGCTTAAATTGTGTGTTTTGACATTTCATAAAAATTTAGACAAATTTTTCATAGTAAAAATGTTTAGCTAGAAATAAATTTCATTCTCACTTATTGTTCTACATCTCGAAACAAAAGAGAATTTTATATTATTTCCAATTGTCCATTCCGCTACAGGATGGTTCTTACTTGGCAGAGTTTTTACTGGAAAAGGGATATGATGTGCATGGCATTATCAGGCGAGCTAGTTCATTCAATACCGCACGTATTCAGCATCTTTATGAAGATCCAAAATGTCACCGTCAGGGTAAAATGAAATTGCATTATGGTGATATGACTGATTCTAGCAGTTTGATCAAGGTCATTAGCCAGGTACAACCAACAGAGATTTATAATTTGGCAGCCCAGAGTCATGTTATGGTTTGTACATTTACCGAATATATATAATACAATAATTTTGCACTGAACTGAAAACTATATAGTATTGCTATTGTTACAGGTAAGCTTTGAAGTAAGTGAATACACTGCGGAAGTAGATGCAGTAGGAACCGTAAGATTATTAGATGCAATACGTACATGTGGTTTAGAAAAATCTATAAAATTTTATCACGCGTCAACATCTGAACTTTATGGTAAAGTGAATTGTGTTCCGCAAAATGAGAAAACGTCATTTTATCCGCGCTCTCCATACGGTAAATATAGTAAATGTGATGATATTTACGTCAGATAATCTAAAATCTATATCAGACAAGACATTTTTCACATTTCAGCTTGCGCCAAACTTTATAGCTTTTGGATTGTTGTAAACTATAGAGAAGCTTACAATATGTTTGCATGTAATGGAATATTGTTCAATCACGAGAGCCCACGAAGAGGAGAGAACTTTGTCACTAGAAAGATCACCAGGTCTATAGCAAAAATACAACTTGGTCTATTGGATGTGCTTGAATTAGGAAATTTAGATGCAAAACGCGATTGGGGCCATGCCAAAGACTATGTAGAAGTTTGTAATTTTATTTTTATGTTTATTAAATTATTTAGATATACTCCAAGTTTCTTAAAATAATTTATGCTATGTGTAACGTACAGGCAATGTGGCTAATGCTTCAACAAACAGAACCAGATGATTATGTTATAGCAACAGGAGAGACACATAGTGTCAGAGAATTTGTGGAAGTAGCATTTAATTATGTGGATCGCACGATTAAATGGGAAGGAGAAGGTGTGAATGAAGTAGGACGAGATGAACAAACTGGAAAAATATTGGTTCGTTTAAACCCAAAATATTTCCGTCCGACCGAAGTGGTAAGATCATGTTGCTCTATATCATGTCATGTCCTATGTCAAGACAGGACTACCAATAGTGCTTACATTCAAATTTATGTGCAATATGTCAAAAGGAATCTTTTCCGGCTTATAGAATTGATTGCTTGATGGTAATGAGTTGTGAGTTTAAAAAGAAAAAAGTTAATTTTATATCTTATATTCAATTACCTTGTTCAAACAGGACATACTTATGGGTGATGCATCTAAAGCAAGAAACAAATTTGGTTGGAAACCAACAATCACATTCACAGTAATTTTGGGATTTCTCATTCGTTTTAAATATTTAATACACTTAACATTTCGTTAATATTCTGCTAAAATTTTTAAATACCACATAATCCATGTTACAGGATCTTGTAAAAGATATGATGGAGTCTGACTTGGAATTGATGCGAAAAAATCCAAACGCCTAAGAGCATCGCGTAAATTACTGCACAACCAAATGCATTTCCAAAATACCTTATTTCCATAAAGTATCAGTATTTAAAGGCTGAGTGAGCTCAATATGAACTCTTAATGAGGTCATCAGTTTCTAATGATATAGATAGATACGTATATTGCCGATGCCTGATATGGGCCTCATTTGAGGGATGCTATCCTATAAAATGGGAAGGGAATATAGAGTGCAGAGATGTGACCAATCATTTATCCGTTCTGATTTCAAACGGCCGAGTTTTGCGATTGAATGGAGCATAGTTTATGAAGAGATTTTTTATCTCAAACTTGTTATAACTTAAATGAATATGTTATAATTCCATTGAAATTGTATACTACTCTTAAAATTTAGTTATTATAAATGTAATTATATATTTTTCTTATAATATTGAGGTTACATTTATTGGCTGAAATTAATAAAACTTGATTTTTCATTTTTGTGGATTTTCATTCCTCTAATATCATCCAATAGAAAGCATTTAAAATCCAAATGAAATGATAGAAAAAATAATAGGGGTGGCCATTTTTATCATTTTTATATTCAATTTTTTCGTTTTTTTTATTCAATTTTTTTCATTTTTTTCCGAAATCAATGCGAAAATAAAGGCCGACTATAAGTTAATTATTTGTGATAAGACGTTAATATAGATTCGAAATAAGGATGATTCGAGCAAATCGCATCGAGTTGTGATCGCACGTTTTGAAGTCACGAAAATTTGAAAAGTGACAGGCCCAGAAATGACGAGTCATCAGATATTAATTAACGAAATATGGGTGATAAGGTTTTAATCTAGACCCAAAATAACCAAGATCCTCAATAATTTGCCACGACGTGCGCCTACGCGTTATCGAGAAATTGAAGCCGATAGATCAAGATCGACTGATGCGAAAATAATGAGTCACCGGGTATAAGCTGCAAAATTATTTGCGATAAGATATTAATCTTGGTTCAAAATAAGTATGATCCGGGCCAACCGTGTCGAAATGCAATTACGCGTTTCGGAGTTAGAGACCACGAAAAATGAAAAAGTGACAGGCTCGAAAATGACCTGTCACAGAATATTAATTATCGAAATATGGGTGATAAGATTTTAATCTAGATCCAAAACAACTATGATCCTCGTAAGCCGCATCGAGCTGCGATTACGCGTTTTGGTTGTCGTGGCGTTAGAGGCCACGAGATATTGAAAAGTGACAGGTTCGGAAATGACAGGTTGCGAAATATTAATCAACGAAATATGAGTGATAAGATTTTAATCTAGATCCAAAATAACTAAGAACATCACAGATTGCAACAACGTGCACCTACGCGTTATGAACAATTTGAATTGCCGATATGTCGAGATTGATCGATGCGAAAATGATGGATTATCAAATAATATAAATTAATAAATCGTGTGCAATAAGAAGCTAATCTAAATTGGAAATAACGATGATCCGTAAATACCAAATTAGTCCAACGTTACGGAATTATGAAGTCCGAAATGTTGAAATTAATGCAGAGAAAAATGATAGATCAATACCCAAACAGCACACGAATGTCCATTGGACGTCCGTTATATGTCCATTTTTTTTACAAAAGACATCCATATAGGACACACGTTTGTCACAACTTCGGGTAAATATATACAGTATAACGCCCTCACCTTAGATTTTTTTGAAATTTTGAAAATTTGTGTATTTTAATGCGTAGAATTGATTTCTGAAAACGAAAATTGCACGTCATGGAAATATTTATGCTAATCGAAAGAAATGATACTATTTAATTTTAAGGCAGTATGACTAATTTTCCTAAAATTCAGATTAATATATAGCTTTTCGGATAGCGTAGAGAGTAAGTAAAAATTTGGGGAAGTAAATTATGGTTCGCTACGACACGTCGCGTCGTCTGGATAAGCGCGCGGCGGCGTGAATTCCAGGAATCGACGAGGCATTTACATGGGCAATGAGTTCTAACCCAGGTAGCAGACTGACGTCAAATGACGTACTAATGACGTCTTAATGACGTTAGCTAACGTCATTAGTGCGTCATTTGACGTCAGTCTGCTACCAGGGAAGAATCGTAGAGACCTGCGAGCGGACTCGTGGAAAAACTGATACTTTCGGGTTGAACGTAATATTTCGTTTGCTCAGAATGAGTTAATAAAATGCGATTAAGATGTAAAATGTGATCAACTATTAAGAATGAAAATATTAATAAACATTAAATGTATTGTTTCGAAATAGATGAGATGAGATTTTTATGTTTCGTTTCACAACCATGATCAGCCTCATCAACTTTTTCATTAAATCATTTCTTCGTCGCAAGATAAAAAACACAATATCGCGAGCCAAGCAACTCCGAATTGTTATAACGTGATGCACATAAAATAAACTTATCCCTCGTGATGTCCCTTCTTGCAAAATATATCCTCGGGTACTTAATCTTTTTCACAACACAAACACTAAATTTAACTTTGCACAACAACAGGCCATTTCTTTCACAACACAAATCTTAAGCAACAAACGCGCGCAATTTCACTCGGCACTCCCGACGATCCCGGTTTTGTTAATCACCTTCGGCTGCTTGACGATACTTCGCCATTACAAATGCAAGAAATTTGCTTTCGGCACTCTCGGCGAAACAGTACACACCGATATTCGCTTTTGATAATTCGAAATCGCGGAAGACATATACGTACGGTCGGCTTTTGGAATTTACCACTAAGCGTTGCAATGCGACTTTCAACGTGTGCGTATGTCGGTGAATACGTATCACTAGCCTGCTAGCCAATCAAAATATTCTGTTCGAAACCGTCCGTCCCGTTTGAAATATTCCAAGAAGTCGGCCATGATAGAAAAAATTCCCGAAACTTTACTCGACCCTCCCGACGAATAATGCACATTTTCAGCGAATATTTAACGAAAGCTGTGCCATACCTCGATGTTTAACGATAATTCGCAGCCGAGACTCGGCTGACGAGTTGAAAATGAAGCTCCGCGACGCGAAAACTCCGCGAGCTGCCGTTACGCAGCTGGCACGCTGAACTTTCCTCGCCATTCCGACGATTCATCTCACTTCACTTCGCGTAGCGGAACAAACGTCATTCCGCTATAACACACGCGCGAAACTTACGCCTTCGGCACTCCCGGTAACGATTTAAGGCACGAAACTCAGCTACGACGAGTCAAAATCACGAGAAATCGCGCGCGACTGTTTATCGCACACAACACAACCCGTAACCGGCGCCATAACTAAATACGAATGCAACTGCGAACAGCGCCACAAGCGGGATACTCGGGAAACTGAGTCGACCAATCGCGGTGATTCATTTCTTTCCGTAGTGGAACCATTTATCTGTATTCAAAGTGTACGAGGTGCGGGTGAAAGGAGTCGATGATAGATCGATTTAATTCGGAGCTTATTACACGCAGTGTAATAAGACAGTGATGGTACAATCTGATAAAATAACCTGACCGCTTCGTTGCATCCTATTACACCCGACTGTACTGTTAAAACCGCAATCCACATTAGTATCGATACCTCGACATCGCAATAGTCGCGACTTATCTTGTCCGTGCCTTAGGTCTGGTCTACAATACGTGTCGTAAGTTGTAAGCCGTAAGAATTGGCGAATCACAATCGATTATTACAAAAATAATTGGCTATAATTGGTCAGTTCTTACAGCTTACAACACATATTGTAGACCAGACCTTAAGCGACGCCTAATGCAATACGTGCCACCAGTGTGAGAGAGCGGAGTGTCTTCCTTTTCCTCTCTCTCTCTCTCACATACACATTTCTCTCTCTCTCTCTCTCTCTCTCACATACACATTTCTCTCTCTCTCTCTCTCTCTCTCACATACACATTTCTCTCTCTCTCACATACACATTTTCTCTCTCTCTCTCTCTCTCTCTCTCTCTCTCTCCCTCTCTCTCTGTTTCTCTCTGTCTGTATCTCTATCTCCTCGATTGCAAGATTGTAAACAATTCAAACGGAGGCAGGATTGAGAAGAATGCGACTGATATGGGCCGACGGGAGGTACGCGCTTTACTTGCTGATCCTGCAAATAAAATTAACAAACTCGCGAACGTCTTGGCGATTGAACGCCGCTGACAAGGTCGTGAAGACTACTGATTTCGTGAGTGCGGTCGAGGACGATCCGATCTTCGATATCCTGACTAACAGTGTGGTTACCGGCAATGGCCAAGGCTGGAGCAAGACCGCGACATCGGAAAAGCTTGAGAAAGTACAGATCTACTGCCAAGAATGTAAAGGTTTCGTCGATCATCAAGAGAGGTATAGTTTATCATGTCATTATCGTCAGGTTGAATTGTCAGGTTATAAAATGATCTCTATAGATCATGATTCTTCCTAATTGCGTTTTCTCTACCTCCTCACGGTTTATCTCCCTCTCTCTTCCACTCCATCACGATATCCAAGCTGTCATGCTAATTTCATTCTCATTCTCAAGTAAGTATAATGCGATATAGAGAAAAAAATAGATTTTATGTGCTTTAGCTACTTTCTGTCTAGATCATGTTGCTTACATGAACATTTTCGTTTTCATATACTTTTTGAGAAATGAACACCTATATTACACAGCATCTGTCAGCTACTGCTTAAAGTAAATTGTAAAGAATAATGTAATAAAAGAAATTATTTATAGTTGGATGCGCTGTGCTTATATATATTCGTGTCACTTATATTGAATTGTTTCTCCTTATTCTAATTCCTTTGTGGTTTTTGTTTTGTGTAATTTTGTTATTGTGACTTATATGCATAGATTCCTTAATTTTACTACGTACATGCACCATTGTTTATGTGACATAATTTTCTTTTTTTTCTGTAGTTAACATTTTGTGTGTGGCTTCCTGTTCATTCAGTGTTAAAACAGCCTTAACTTTGGTCCCCTTGGCAGACGACTTTCGTCGTACGTGTTGAAGGATATACAAAATATCAATGAGTCTTTTCCTCTACCTTCAAAAGTATCAAACGAACAAGTGATATGTGCTACTGGTCAACAATGCGACAACATAATATTGGATTGTGGTAAACCAGTGAACTTTACCTATTATGACAACCTGATTGGTGTGGCAAATAGAGACAAACACCCAATGATACCAGAGCCAAATGTAGCATTAATGTTCAAAAAGAACGGTGGTAGGACTGTTGATGTTGATATCGACTTGCTGGAGAGACGTTTAAAGAAAGCAAAGCGAGAGGTATCTATTGTCAATACAATTTACATATTATAATTATTACTAAAAAGTGATCTCTGCAAAGGGATACTTGTGCATCTTTGATTTTTTGTGTTGAGTGGATTCTTTCTCTTTATACCCTTCCTCAAATTTCCAGAAGCCGAAATCTGTTCAGATCTATAACCAGATAGGAAATTTCTGGCGTATAAAGGGTGATGCGGAAAAGTCGATCGAATGTTTTCGCAGGGCACTTGCCGTGTCGCCGCATAATGCAGAAGTACTTTTGAACTTGGCTAGAGTAATGCTGGTGCATCATTATTTGGATGACGCGACATATTTAGCCAGGCGGTCCTTGGAAATGCAACCTCCAGACCGTAATGCATGGGAACAATATCTTACACTTGGACAAATTTTCAAGGTGAATATTATAATTATATTATAAACAATAATTAGATATCAACATGTTATCATACCGAGTATGAAAATAGACGTGCGCGGTAAAACGTAATACTCGGTACTCAGTATTAAAGTAGCTGAATGCAAAACTTGAAATGCCCAGAAAAACTCAAATGTTCCCAGCCTTGAAATGCATCTTTCTGCGGATTATAGGCATATGGACATTTCCAAGAAGCAGCTGTACATTTGCGTCATGCGTTGGAGCTAAAACCAGACCTCTCTGATGCCACTGCTGCATTAAAGGAAGTAGAGTCACTACCGGTTACAAGTATACATTTCTATACGTTACTGATTATCATCTGTTTGGTACGTAAACAAGCACAAGTGTATCTTTGCATTTTATCGTTGCACCGATTGCATTTGCCGTAGCAACAATATTAAATAAAGTTTTAAACATTGGTCTCAAACTTTTTGTTTTTAAGTAAATAACTATCTATACAATTTATTATAAACTTTACTAAAGGAGCTGTTTTCTCAATTCCTCTTTTTGTTTTTCGAGTTTTGGAGTTTTCGAAAGAGACAATGGCCACTGAAATGTTCATTGTTATCTTAGGTAGTAGGCGTACTGTTGGTTATGGTAAGCAATGTAGAATGTGATGAGGATTCAACTCTAGTCAGCGGACAGCTTCAGCGCCCGGTACAACGACATTTCAGTCGTGCTATGGCTATGCGCAGCTTGCGTCTCAACGTCGCACGCAATAAACGTTGTTAATCATGATTCGTTAATATGATGAGCCTGTCGTTCGTACATATGATAGAATAACTTTTGATGCCATAACGATTTATCTCCTCGCAAAGTATTATTTGTAATATGATTCGTAATAATTCTTGGAATGCACCATCTATTTATTATGTATCCCCAGAGAAAAATATATAAAAACTTCACCACTACCTCAAGTTGTTTATTGAAAGTCTCTCTCTCTCACATCGTGTGACTTCCGTTTTTATTATGTTCATTCACATTTATTCATATACATATACAGCCGAAATGAAGCTAAATAGATAATTGCGAAACAGAAAAATTTAATCGAGGACACAAGACTTTCTTATTATGAACGTATAAACATTGAATTCAATATTTCCTCAATCAATCTCAAGCAATCTTCTCCAATTAAAAGACAATTATATTTAATTTTTATATTTATATTTAATTATGTTTAATTTTTGATGAAAGTTTCCGTCGAGGATTAATTGGAAATAATCTCGATAAGTTTCAACTTAAATCTGATATTTATTCTTGCAATATGTTTACAGAAAATAAAAAATATGGAATGTAATTATCAATTAAAGTGATTCTCTTTTAGTTGCTATCAATATGTAACACGCGATACATCATAACAATTACTCGGATCATTTGATCATCAAACAGAACACTGGAATAGGTACCAGATCTCTCTGATGCCCCGCTGCTAGGGCACACAGGCAAATTTTTAATTTGTGATCTTTCATGTATATAAATTGTAACGCAATTTTTCATTTATAAGTGGTACATTAATATGTTATATATCAGAACTAAATATGTGCCAATATGTGTGTGTGTGTGTGTATGTGGGACATCCCAAGAAAGCCCATGAAACAGCAGCAGAATAATTTTAAGGCTTCTCAATATTTTTGTTTTTCGATGAAGATATCTTACAGCTCAAATAATAAAGTCTTAATTTCGTTTCGTGTGTTACTGACATGTTGCCTTAGTGATAATCCTAAATATATCTTAGCATAGCTGTTCCTATGATAAAAATTTCACTACAGCAAATTTCTTCTAAACATTTAAAAATTATCATACTATCTATATATATTAGTAGTCTATTATTTAATCGTTTAAACAATATCTTCTTATACATGATATGACAGTATCTACCCACGTTTCTTGAAATCTTCCAACGTTTGACGTATTCGAGATGGCTCTCTGATTATAAATCTTCACTAATATCTTTATACAATTTGTCCGCACGACGTATTTTCCGCTGTCAGTTCGCACTTTTTTGGGACATTTTCTATAAGAGATAATTCTCCAAATTTTTGAAAATGGAAACAACATATGTAACGCAATCGCGTCTAAACATTCATTCAACAAGATTCATGCTAATATTAATGCTTAACAAGGCTATTCTACATTTTATATTAAAATTTAGCAGAGTAATATATAAATAACATTGTACACAATTTATGATCTAATTAATGCGCATCATAGATAGTAACATTCTATCTAATCTTTGCCGCGAAGGCAATTATTTTTCATCACATAGAATTCTCGCACATATTCCTCAGGTTTGTGTAACATTTTTTTTCAATAGCTTACTCATAATGCTCATAAGATATGTAAATATAAAGTTAAAAATTGCTGCAAATATTTGTAATAGAAGTTCGAAACAAGTAAAAATTTTGAACATTCACTTATATCGCATTAAATAAACGAGAAATTAAATCGCATTTTTATTATCTTTGTTGGATAGAAAAATTCGATTATTCCGCTATTCCGCTAAAATTCAATCTGCAAAAATTTCCGCTTAATTTCTCGAAATTTAATTTAGAATTGTTCTTGTAATTAGAAAATAAATATCTGCTAAAGTCCAAAAAAGGAAAAAAATGCAAAAAATATAATATTTCCTATAATGTAGTTAAATATTCTCCCCTACAGATACATTAGGCTTATATTTTTTACAAAATATTATTAATAATATAATGTGCCTTTGGCTAATGAATAATTAATATATCTTAGACGGCAAACGAAAAAAATACTTTTGGAGAAAAAGAACACAGGTTGAAAGATGTATTATTTGAAATAGTAGAAACTTAATTTCAACGAATGAAAATTCAAAACGAAAACACGTATTCGTACGGAGGGAATACGATTGTATTAAGATTGAATGTGAAGAACTTTATGGACATCCAGTGTACAAGAGAAAAATAGGCCCTGTTTTTACAGTAGGCTCTGTAATATTTACAACGATTGAAATCGTTAGCTAACAGCCGAGGTCAAGCGGTCAATTACATTAAATGCATACTCAAGATATATATGCATTATGCTTCCAATGATAATCCATATTGCGCGATAGAATAATTAGCGTAGTCAATACTCAGAAAATCAGAATTGTATAAATTAGATCTGCCTTTTTTCTCAATGTTCAAAAATACTTATTCCATGATGTCTGAGCATTAAAAGTTTAAGTGATCATTTTCAGTCATGTATTCTTGAGTCAAATCTCTGTGAAAGTTGGAAAGGATCGCCGAAAGGAAGCTGATTATTACGTTGCATTCATGTAAGTACTAACATTGTCTTGAATCGTCTTGAGTTTACTTCCAATTCGTTGAAAACTAGTTTACACAAGGCACTAAATGCATCTGATATTGACATTTATATGTGAATAAGAATTCCATATTCAAATACATTATTCAAATACACTGGATATCCGAAAGTAATATTGAGAGTCCTCAAGCAGTATTTATAAGTACAATACTATCATACAGGGTGCTAGAGCCAATCACAGAACAATCGGGAAGGAATACTTCTTCATAGAGAAAAATATATATCAACTTCAGGAAACTCTAAGAGTCTTGTATGCGCGAAAGCCACTGCTTTCCATGAGAAAATATTACCCCTTTCCCCGTTGCCACTATAATTTTCGTCACACACTGTATAGTATTGGAAATATACATCAAACTCTTTCGGCAAATTCGGCTATTCACAGACACCCTTCCGATATTCATCCTTAAAGTCTCGAGCTGTGCGTGCGCACTTAAAATACATGTATGCACACAATTAACACTGAATTACAATACAGGATAGTCCACTTGATAGTAACGACAATCCAACAGTATCTTGTGAGCAAACTGCCCTGTATGTGTTACAATCTAGATTCTTATAGCACTGCTATTTCAGATGTTGCTATGTGTATATTACATATATTACGTTATATACATATGTTTGGAAAATTAAAACTGCACCCAACTGGCATTAGCCACTGGGGGTGTGGGTGCCGATGCTGCCTGAGAAGCACTGGCAAATTCACCCCACTCTGAACCTGTAGTACCTTGACTTTGACTTTGCGGTGGTTTGTGGGCTGGTGAGGATGTTGGAGTTTTCGCTGGTGGCGGTGCGATTTTGACACCACCAGGTGGAGGTGGTAAACCCATGGCTGGATTGGTACGTTGTCTTGCTTTGGATGAGACCTCGCTGCCATCCTTTTTCTAAGTAACAGACATACAAGTAACAGACGCGAGAAAATTATTTTAACTTTAAAATTATCCTGCACACATACAAAAGCACAACAAATAAAATGAAATAAAATGAAATAATGAAAAAATATTATTGTAAAGAAATCATTACTTTCTCCATCGTAGCTTTTTCATCATAATCATATAGCACTTACAGTGATCTTCATGTTGATTTTGATAGTTTCACCCTCCTTGAACCTGAGATCCAACTCCTGTTTCGGTTTTTCCTTCTCCTTTTCAATTTGTTCCCGATTCTTCAGCCACTTGAAATGATCTTGAAGAGCGACATTCAAGTCGAAACTGTCAGACCTATCTAAGAAACCAACACCTATGAAAGCCGATCTCCCATTGTCATCCTGAATTCTCAGAACAAAATATCGGGAAGAGTCAGTGACTGTTTCTACAGCTATTCCAGGATACTGCTCGATCGGACACTTTGCAAACAGTTCGCCCGTGACCTTGTCCTCTAGTTTTATCGTTATGCTGTCTCCTTGCGATACCAGACGCATGCGACCAGTCCATGAAGGCTCCTGCAAGTTCCAGTCAGCTGCCCTGCAATCGTATCGTCGATATATAATCTTTATATCCATGCGATTCAGTCAGAAGAGGAAAACTGGACGGTGCGTCCAGTTTCACTTAGCCAGACATATCTGAGTAACTACTAGCAGTTACGTACTGTCTGAACCAAATAAGAAAACACGTAACCGTCTCGCGTTTGACACATCGGAACGTTTACAACATATTGAACAACTGCGAAACGTCACGTCGGAAGCGTTCGTTCTTACCGATAACCCCTGTTGGTTGACCTTGGCGGAATTTTGAAGACGAATACTTCGGATTTCACCAGCAGGACACTCTCGTACGTTTCCATCGCGTTTTCCGACGACTTTCACAATGCGCGAACGTAAAAGTAACCACGGGCAGCTCTCACGAAGCTGCCGTTCGAAAGTGTTGCGTTTGTGTGTATCTTATGACGAATGTCCGCCGTGATTTGATAACTTTATCTCCAGTCACGCCTCCTGTCCCACTCCGTCTATCGTCCCTTCCACGATTGTCCACAGATTAATCGTACATAGAGTGGCCAGTCTGTTGCCTTTGTGCCGCTGTGCGATCAAAGGAAGTGACTTATCGATAGTGACGTGCGATTAGGGAAGTGAAATATTTGTGACGCGCGTTTCGTCGATATTCGTAAAGTCTCAAGCGGGGAAATATCACGAAGAATCAGAGGGAATGAGAATAAGAATTCTAAATTCTAAATTCTCCTTCTCTTTTGAGTGCGTTTAAACACAAGTGAGATGAATTTGTCATAAGCAACGAGAGACAAAATTATTCTGAATGACTGGATGGAGATTACGAATAATAAAATTGAAAAAGGTTAGCAGCAAATATAATTAAGCCGTACACGTTAATCCGTTCTCCTGTTGAACAGGTTGTATAATTTTATTGAGTCATACAAAATTATTGCAGTGACGTGAGCATAGTGAAATAAGATACAGATACTTGCAAAATCTGAAAAAAGAATACTATATGCGATGGTGCTGTACCTTAGCAGGGTTAGCCCTTAGGAAAAATTATTTCAAGATGTTCAAATTAACTTATAGTTAACTTTATTAAAGTTATTAAAGTTATAGTTATAGTCACCTAAAGTTACTTATAGTTAACTATAACTATAAATTACTTATAATTAACTATAAATAATTTTAAGTTAATTTGAAAATTTTAAGTAATTTTTCCGAAGGGAGATGTTTATTCGAGCAGCATAACATCTATTTACATACCGAGCTGAAATTCTCCGTCGACATTACGTATATCTTTCCAGCTTTTATTTGGCACGGTTTAATGGCACGCATTAACATGAATTTTAACAGTTGTCTAGATCTCATTGAAATCGTATACCAGTTGCAACTGTAACTGATAAGCGCATTTTCCTCATTAATTGACGCAAGTTTTGGCGTGCATATATATACCCAGATAGCACAAGATGTCCTTATGTCCATTTTACGTCCGCACGGTTCATGAACGTGAAATGAACGTCCATCGTATATATGATTTTGGACTCATCAAAATCAGTCCATATTAGGACATCCATAAGATGTCCAATGTTGGACGTCAATGGTCATTATCCAAAAATTATTATAGTGAATTTGATTGCTTGCACTAACATGCGCACTAAGACTGCGTGCCGAAATTCACTGCCAGTACTGAAAATCTATAGTATACGTGACACAAACCATATATTTTTTCAGTACTGGAAGTGAATTTCGGAACGCAGCCTAAGTATGCTTTAAGGCTTGTTTAGATTTCGTTTGTATATATGTATATATTATACAGGATGCTAAATTTCAAACGTAACAGGTAAAAATCTCGAAATCTATGAAAGATATTAAAAAAAGCTAAAACACGTGTTCCATGATTTCGAAGGGGAAAGAGAATGGCATTATCAGTTTTTTATTTGGAGGGCATTTTCAAGGTCAATTTTAGGTCAACTTAATTTTTTAAAACAGAAAGTCCAATTTTTTATTATATCTCCTTTTTCTAGCAATTAATTTTAACAACTTTTGTTTTGTCAAAAACATTTTTTTATTTGACTATTTTTTGAAATATTTCAGGGAAGCTTGGTAACTTTCTCTCAACATTTAACTTACGATAAACTCGCTAATTATTCGTCGAGACAAAAAATAATATTAGACTTTTTTCCTTTATTCACTATCAAGAATATATTAATTACTATAATAGTGTCTTAACTTTTGTTAATTTAATAATTTTGAAATTAAATTTTATATATTGATATAAAAATAAATAATATTTTTTGCATTTCAGAATTTTATTGTTGTTGATAAACCTTTCCTTTACGTATTTCTGAATGTTTATTTTGCTTATAATTACGAATAGTGGAGAATTGAGAATGATGTCCATTTTGGATCCTTGATTTGGATATTCTACGGACGTCCAGAATTATGAAAAACGGACATCCTACGGATGTCCTATGAACGTCCGTCGGATTTCTTTTGGACGTCTTATGGACGTCCCGAAGTCCAAATTCGAACGTCCACTGGACGTTCGTCGGACGTCCATGTGTTATCTGGTTATGTACTGGGTATGTACATACAACTACAAACAAATATGCGTACATACATTACTTTATGAAGTCCGCCACTGTGATCGAGCAATCGCTGACACATCCAACTCAGATAATATATGTGTAACAATTGTGCTATACTAGCGGCGGAAATTCTGACAATTTCGTCAAACTGAACATCCACCATGATCAACTTGAACATATGCAGTACGCAATACGATTAAACATATGCAAGATAAAAACAAACCCATGTATATACACACGCAGTGCTGAAAATTATATCAAATATTTACCTCAGCCAAGCTGAAACTGAGGCATATGATCACATTTCCTAATAGAAAAAGGTAGGACGTTGCGTAAGCGAATGAGAGCAATTCGGAAAATCTTTGCGTAAAATGACAAAACAGTTGTGTTAGTCCACGTGAAAAGTTCTAATACGATTAACTTGTGTCCTAACGCAAAATCTCAGTAGAACTATTTAATTCACTTTAAAGCTATAAACCTCGTATAAAGGTTGCAAATTAGTTGCAATTAGTAGTAGTCATTCCTCGTTATCCGAATCAGCTGTGTATAGAAGAATTTGAATAACCAGCGATTGTTGTACGTATTTTTACTAATCGATACTGACTGACACGTTTTTTCTTTAAACCAGGTGTATAGAAAAATCAAAAAGAAAAAAACAAATCGAGCAAAGAGGCGCCGGCCAGAGAGACATATGTAGCTAAAGAGTATTTACAACTGGCACTAACTTGAACGCTTGCTCGTGCAATTTAATGCACTCGATTATTTTATGATACTCGATGTCGTCCGCAATATCCGGCTCAAGCGTCACGAAATCCGAACCTTGTATGTGCTCCATGTCGTACCTATACTCGATCAAAAACGTGACATCATTCAGAAGGGATTTTCCCCAAAGATCGAGATCGACTTACTTTATGATCTCGAACAACGCGCAGACATGCTGGATGCAAAGTACAAACATCGTGTCGACCGCGATCGGCACTGATACTATGTAGAACACGCTGATGAAGCCATGCAGCATCAGCAGATTGAAGTACTTGTCCACGTCACAAACATGTTCCAAACGATAGAGAAATCTGGCCGTGTAGGTCGCGTTAATCGGCAGAAGCTTGTACGTCCAGCTGACGATGAGCGGCGTCGTCGAGTACAAGATCCACACCGCGTACAAAGCCACTGGAATGAGAGCCGCTTAATGTTTCTTCCTTCCCTTTCTTTTTCTCCTATGTAATAATAATGGCCGTGCTCGCTCGAGAGATATACAGTAATTTGACATGAGCCGTCAAAGGAGAGAGAATTACGTTGACATCGATCTCTAAAGGAGACGAGAGGAACTCACACGTATATCTTATCGTATAGACTTTAGTTTGTTCCGCGTAGCTCCGCAATATTTCATTACGTGGACCCACTTGGATCATCTGCCAGGTCTCCTCGACGTGATCCAGAAGTTCTTTCATCTGCACTTTGAAGAATTCATTCGATTTATGATTACGAAATGCTCGGCCAGCTCGGCCAGCTTTAGCGTTTCGCAACGGAACGGAAATGGAACGGACTTTATACTTATTGAAGAAATAATTGATCAGTTTCACGAAGATGAAGCTGTTCACCAGCAACGGCGACGCGTTCTCCATGATGATGCTCAGATCTGTCATGCCGCTTACCAGACCCCACCCCTACGAACACAATTCGAAACAGATGGTCAGTTTTGAATCTTGGGTCTTGGGTCGTGCGTATTTCAAACACCTCCAAGAATGTCAAACTGCCAGTGAAGAATAGCGTGATGCCGAGCATCGTATTACTCTCCAGACGCGATTGATACGGCCATTGGCCGATGATGGACAAAAGTCGTTTGCTGACATAATAGTAGCGATTGTCATAGAAAGACATTTTTTCTCAGGCCATCAAAGGGACACTGCGAAACAAACACATATCTCGTCGAATATTTACGCTTAAAAGGACTCATTGCGTATTCTCTTGAGACAGTATCAAAAGGAAATCAATTTAATAGCGCGGCGCTACGAAGTCGTCAGGTAACGTGCGCGATAAGTTGTAGTACTCTGCGAATACGCGAAGTATCACATATTCATGAGTAGCGAGTTGCATTTTCCTCAACATGCAACTCTGTAATCGCTTGAGGCACAGCTGCAACCGACGCTCTACAATCTACAATCGGTGTTTTCTTTTTTTTTCTTTTCTCCCAATCGAGTGAGGTCTCAAATCTACAAAGGGGAAGATGCAAAAATTGCTCCGAGCTCCGAGGTCGGGGATAAGATTCTATCTACTTATTCTCTTGGAACAATAAAAGATAATCGACATCGAAGGGATCAGTACTTACAAGGGACTCATGTAGTCCGGCTCGAAAATTTTGATTTCATCGAAACTCTGCGGGAATGTACATACGGGAAGAGCACACACGTTGAGGTATGTAAAAGACTATTTTCTTCAGCGTTAATTCGCAGAGGGGAATACCTGATCCTACCGTATTATCCGTGCGATGTCGATTTTGTGCCAAAACTGCTATTTTTTATCAAAAAGTTAATACACGTCCACGTTACGCGCAATTATTACCTACAAATAAACGAAAAGGAAATTACGCTCTTGTATCGCGCAATAAATCTCTATCAATAGTTTTACTTAAGGAGTACACCTACAAGTGATACATCTATTATGGGAGGAGGGGAGATATAGAGCGAACAATAGTTGTAAATCGATCATGTAAATATCAATCATTATATTTACATGATCGATAAAGTACACGAATATCGCGCTTACACCTTTATACTTTTTCTTCCGTCTCTAATTTCTGTTCGACGTGCAGTTTTCGTTTGTGTCGCTTGTACGTGGATACGGTTAATATTTTCTCGCGTGTGGATGCTGTGCGTTCGAGTTTACGTCGTTCTTTCTTACTGTGTTTCTTCATAGCCAGCATATAATCAGGTACGTGGCAACCGGACGCGCGTATAACCGTCGCGATACTAAACAAAGAAATACATACTATATTCCATAACTGTTTCATTTGAGTATAATAAAAACGTAAACATTAGTTTAAACTAGACAATTAGGAAGTATTGGATATTAGATATAAGGTATTAAGAGGTATAAGAAAGAATTTTGCAAGATATATTTGAAATAAAAATAATAACATAAAGAAGAAAGACTGTTTATCGTCACTGTAATGGTTTTGTCGGACAACGCGTACGCAGTCCCCACGATCAAAAATATGCGTAGTTACAAGAATCACATCTAACCGCCACGGAGGCGAACAATAGACTTTATCAAGAAACGTGGGCAATGGACACTCGTACAAAACATGCGGTACCATAGACAACCCTTAAGAAAAATTACTTTAAGATGTTCAAATTAACTTAAAGTTACTTATAGTTACCTAGAGTTACAAAGTACTTATAGTTAACTATAAATTACTTACAGTTAACTATAGGTAATTTTAAGTTAATTTGAAAATTTGAAGTAATTTTTCCTAAGGGAATGGCCGCGTTCAGCAGAAAAGACTGCTTACTAAGCGCTTAGTGATTATTATCTATGATTGGAGTATTCTTTCAGAATTCTTTCTTTAATGAATCCAGAGGAATGAACCAATCGGGAACGATAATCACTAGGCGCTTAGTTAGCAGCTTTTTCTGTTGAACGCGGCCATTGGTTGCGTTCAGAAAACACAACGGTTGTATGTGCATTGTTCTTCATGACTTTCAAACCAAATATCGAACTCCTCAGTACTCATTTTGCTTTTCGATAAGGCATAGACTTGGCAAAAGCTTGATCTAACCACTAGCATGTGGTACTTTGTTGCTGTATTTACCAATCAAAGTAGTCACACCAAACCGTGAATTAAAACCTCGTTTTTTCCAAGTTCCATCCCCTGATACTGTTAGATTCGATGATGAAAATTCTGTTTCAGAAGTCACTTCTTTCTCCTCATCGACGGCTCTTTTCAGCACGCAATCGTAGCTGCAGCCGCGCAATGAAAATTCTTCATCATAGTAGAATAACACGATGTTGAAAGCCCAAGCTCGATATCCATTATCTCACAACATAAGTTTACGCCTTCTCTGCCGATTCCTAACAATCGTATTGCCACCATAATCAGACGATTGATCTCAAATGCTTTCTCGATAAACGGAGGAGAGTTTATATATATATATATATATATATATATATATATATATACTATAAATCGCACGTATATTGCAATTGGATTTTGAAACCCAATCCACGAGGGTTGGTTTTAGTAAAATAAACTTCGTTTTTGCAGGTTTTGCAAATAACAGATGCACTAATTGTAGCAAAAACAGAGTAAAAATTCAATATACAATAATGGTGTTGTATATCAAGCAGAATTTCCTTGTCATCAGTTCTTCGCAGCAACTTCGCTGCTGTTGTACTTGTAAAACTTTCACTTGTTTCTCCTACTGTATACTGATTTCCTCTGAATTTTCTTCTTTTAGTTCTCTTCTCACTGAACTCCGACACGCGCGAGAGATATTAGTTTTCGTACCTTTCCTTTCCTGCTACTCATTTTGCTATATGTTCGTGTCCACTTTGTACAGAGGTCGGGACGAGACTAAACCGAACAACAAAATGCTTCTTTTTTTTGGCTGAACTGGTTGTACAAGAGTGTATCTTTTTCTTCCAATATAAGGCCCTAAACAGGCCTAATGTATTCCGAGCAGGTTAAAACAACAAACAACGGAACAACGAATTTCACTATACGGTTTTAACAGGCATATTTATATATTCGGGAGTATTTATATATTCTATAGTATAAGAAAATCCAAAAAACTCAATATCGATTTTTTCAAATTTCTAAACGACAATACCGTCTTAAACAGGTTGTATATTTTATTGGGTTGTATAGTTTCATTGAGTTTATTGATTATAACAAAATTATTGCAGTGACGTGAGCATAGTGAAATAAGATACAGATACTTGCAACATCTGAAAAAAAATGGAAAGAAGACTATATGATGTTGCTGTACCTTAGTAGGGAGCTCTTAGAAAAAAATACTTTAAGATGTTCAAATTAACTCAATTAAAGTTATAGTTATAGTTACCTAAAGTTACTTATAGTTAACTATAAATTACTCACAATTAACTATAAATAATTTTAAGTTAATTTGAAAATTTTTCCGAAGGAAGATGTTTATCCGAGCCGCGTAATATCTATTTACGTACCGAGCTGAAATTCTCCATCGACATTACGTACATCTTTCCAGCTTTTATTTGACACGGTTTAGTGGCACGCATCAACATGAATTTTAACAGTTGTCTAGATCTCATTGAAATCATATACCAGTTGCAACTGTAACTGATAGTGAAGTGCATTTTTCTCATTAATTGACACAAGTTTTAGCGTGCATGTATGTATATATATACCCTGCTAGCAAAATTACAGCAGACTGACGGCAGACGGACGGCAGAATGAATCAGAGGTTTACAGCAGATTTGTGCCAACTGTTTATCCGTTCTGCCTGCATTCTGATGACGCAAAGTCTGCTTATATTATATTATTTGACGGCAGATTGGCGACAAAAATACAGCAGATTTTGCCGTACACACAGTCTGACACCAGAATGACGGTAGAAACGTAACAGATCCTACTGTCCACTGTCTGACAGCAGACAGGCGACTGAAATACAGTAGATCCTGCCATAATCATTTTTACGCCCCCTCTCTCCTCTCCCTTCTCCTCCAGTCATACACATTACGTCAAGGTAATAATTAAAAAACAACATAATATACGTACAATAGAGTCCATTGTTCGCTTCCGTGGCGGTTGGATGTTGTTTCTGTAACTACGCATATTTTTTTAACGTGGGGACTGCGTACGCGATCCTGTTTATCTTTTGTCTTCATAATCGTTGACTGGCGTAGGGGATAGAGTGTAACAACTCTGCCCAAAGTCATTTATTGTACCAGAACCAGAACCTATAGTACAATCTTTTTATTTATAGCACAAGGTGCTGTCGAACGAGACAGCTATAATCGGAAAAAAGTTAACAATAAACTTTTTCCATGCACTTTTCCCAAAGGGATAAAGGGGGACAATAGTGTTTACGCGCGGGAAAACGAAGGCGACGATGTTTCTTGTCATAGCTTCAGAAAGCGGCGACGCACGATCACTTGGAGGCGATGTTGGTGTAACTGATAAATTAGGAGAAACGGCAATCTGCAGCGATATCGGATCTATATTACAGTTGTATCTCTCTAACTATAGTTATGTAATACATATGTTTAAGCAAATACGTAAATTAAAAATTATATTGTATTAATGTCATAATTTTCCACAGTAAATACAATCGCATCTTGTGCGATAAATAAAAAGATTGTACGTATATTGTGTTGTATTTTAATTATTACCTTGATGTAATGTATAGGACTGGAGGAAAAGGGAGAGGAGGGAGGGGGCGTAAAAATGATTATGACAGGATCTGCTGTATTTCTGTCGCCAGTCTGCTGTCAGACTCTGTGGACAGTAGGATCTGTTACGTTTCTGCCGTCATTCTGGTGCCAGACTGAGTACGGCAGTATCTGCTGTATTTCTGCTGTCAATCTGCTGTAAGACTGTGCACGACAGAATCTAATATGTTTCTGCCGCCTATCTCTCGACAGATGCACTGCGTGCGTCAGGATCTGTTGTATTTCTGTCGCCAGTCTGCCGTCAGACTATGCACAGTAAGATTCGATAATATATGTTTCTGCCACCGCAATCTGCCGCCAGATTGCGCGTCAGGATCTGTTCAAATGTCGACGTCAATCTGATGTCAAACCTGCGTAACAAATTTTGTCTCAATATTATTGACATTCTGCCGACCACATCTGATACTACAGAGTCTGTATTAAGTCTGACATCAGTTTGCCATCAACTCCTGCAGCAGGCGTCTAGCAAAATCTGTTTCCGATAGATCTAGCTACGTAACATTGTTATTAGGGTATACATGTATGTACGTATACAACTGCAAACAAATATGCGTACATTACTTTATGAAAATCGCCACTGTAATCGAGCAATCGCTGACACATCCAACTCAGATAATATATGTGTAACAATTGAGCTATATTAGAGGCGGAAAATCTGGCAATTTCGTCAAACTGAACATCCACCATGAGCAACTTGAACATACAATATGCAATAGCGATTAAACATGCAAGATAAAAACAAATCCAAGTATATACACACGCAGTGCTGAAAATTATCAAGTATTCACCTCAGCCGAGCTGGAACTGATGCATATGATCACATTTCCTAGTAGAAAAAGGTAGGACGTTGCGTAAGCGAATGAGAGCAATTCGGAAAATCTTTGCGTAAAATGACGAAACAGTTGTGTTAGTCCACGTGAGCAGTTCTAATACAATTAACTTGTGTCCTAACGCAAAATCTCAGTAGAACTATTTAATTCACTTTAAAGCTATAACGTCGTATAAAGGTTGCAAATTATTGGGGACTTGAATAAGTTCTCGCTGTTTGCCCGACAGAGGTGTTATCCTAGCCTTTTTGCATCGGGCAATACTACAGCCAACTTCATCGTGAAGCTCCACCATTAGGCTCCATTAGAAAGTGACAGTATATGTTATTCCGCCGAAGTGTAAACAACATATTTTTTCATGGCGTTAAACATATCGAATTTCGTTCGAATGTTCGAATTTCATAAAACAGAATATTTACGGGGAATTTTACTGCATCACTTAAAAAAAAAAAAATCTGCAGCTGAAACATATAGAATTCTTGTGGAGACTTACGGCGATTACGCTCTGTCGGAAACAACATGCAGAGATAGCTTTAGATGCTTTAAAAATAATGATTTTGATGTTGAAGATAAAGAACGCTCTGGCGCACCGAAAAAGTTTGAAGACGGAGAATTGGAAGGATTACTGGATGAAGACCCATGTCAGACGCAAATTGAACTTGCAGAATCATTAGGAGTTGATCACACAACAGTTGTCAAACGTTTAAAAGCATTAGGAATGATTCAAAAGCAAGGAAATTGGGTGCCGTACGTCGTTGCAGCCGAGAGACGTCGAACGGCGTTTTTCACGTGTGAACAGCTGCTCCAACGGCAGAAAAGGAAAGGCATTTTTTGCATCGTATCGTGAAGGGTGATGATAAGAGGATACACTACGATAACCCGAAACGTAGAAAATCGTGGGGTAAGCTCGGCCATGCCGATCACCACCAACGGCAAAGCCGAATATCCATGGTTCCAAGCTCATGCTCTGTATTTGGTGAGATCAGCTGGGTGTAGTATATTATGAGCCCCTCAAAGGCCACATGTTGCAAAACCGGTCAAAATCTACCTGGAAACGCTGAAATGGGAAGGCCTATCTCACCCGCCGTATTTACCGAACATTGCTTCTTCCGACTACCACTTGTCCCGATCGATGGCTCATGGCCTGGCTGAACAGCACTTCCATTCTTATGAAGATGCCAAAAAATGGGCCGATTCGTAGATAACCTCAAAAGATGAGTCGTTTCTTTCGACATGGTATTCGTATATACTGACAGAAAAATGGGAGAAAGTAGTGGCTAGCATTGGACAATACTTTCAATGACATGGTCTTTACTCATTTTCATAAATAAAGCATTCATTTTCACGAAAAAACAGCGAGAACTTATATTCAAGTCCCCAACAGTTGTAGTCATTCCTCGTTATCCGAATCTGCTGTATATTGAAGGATTCGAATAACCAGCGATTGTTGTACGTATTTTACTAATCGATATTGACAGACACGTTTTTTTTTTTTTAAACCAGGTGTATAGAAAAATCGGGTAAAAAAACAAGTCGAGTAAAGAGACGCCGGCCAGAGAGACATGTGTAGCTAAAGAGTATTTCCAACTGGCACTAACTTGAACGCTTGGTCGTGCAATTTAATGCACTCGATTATTTTATGGTACTCGATGTCGTCCGCAATATCCAGCTCAAGCGTCACGAAATCCGAGCATTGTATGCGCTCCATGTCGTACCTATACTCGATCAAAAACGTGACATCATTCAGAAGGGATTTTCCCTAAAGGATCGGGATCGACTTACTTTATGATATCAAACAACGCGCAGACATGCTGGATGCAAAGTATAAACATCGTGTCGACCGCGATCGCCACTGATACTATGTAGAACACGCTGATGAAGCCATGCAACATCAGCAGATTGAAGTACTTGTCCACGTCACAAACGTGTTCCAAACGATAGAGAAATCTGGCCGTGTAGGTCGCGTTAATCGGCAGAAGCTTGTACGTCCAGCTGACGATGAGCGGCATCGTCGAGTACAAGACCCACATCGCGTACAAAGCCACTGGAATGAGAGCCGCTTAATGTCTCTTCCTTTCCTTTCTTTTTCTCCTATGTAATAATAATGGCCGTGCTCGCTCGAGAGATATAATTTGACATGAGCCGTCAAAGGAGGGAGAATGACGTTGACATCGATCTCTAAAGGAGATGAGAGGAACTCACACATATATCTTATCGTATGGACTTTAGTTTGTTCCGCGTAGCTCCGTAATATTTCATTACGTGGACCCACTTGGATCATTTTCCAGGTCTCCTCGACGTGATCCAGAAGTTCTTTCATCTGCAGTTCGAAGAATTCATTCGATTTATGATTATAAAATGCTCGGCCAGTTTTAGCGTTTCACAACGGAACGGAAATGGAACGGACTTTATACTTATTGAAGAAATAATTGATCAGTTTCACGAAAATGAGGCTGTTCACCAGCAACGGCGACGCGTTCTCCATGATGATGCTCAGATCTGTTATGCCGCTTACCAGACCCCATCCCTACGAACACAATTCGAAACAGACGGTCAATTTTGAATCTTGGGTCTTGGGTCGTGCGTATTTCAAACACCTCCAAGAATGTCAAACTGCCAGTGAAGAATAGCGTGATGCCGAGCATCGTATTACTCTCCAGACGCGATTGATATGGCCATTGGCCGATGATGGACAAAAGTCGTTTGTTGAGATAATAGTAACTATTGTCATAGAAAGACATTTTCTTTCAAGCCATCAAAGGGACACTGCGAAACAAACATACATCTAGTCGAATATTTACGCTTAAAAGGGCTCATTGCGTATTCTCTTGGGACAGTATCAAAAGGAAATCAATTTAATAGCGCGGCGCTACGAAGTCGTCAAGTAACGTGCGCGATAAGTTGTAGTACTCTGCGAATACGCGAAGTATCACATATTCATGAGTAGCGAGTTGCATTTTCCTCAACATGCAACTCTGTAATCGCTTGAGGCACAGCTGCAACCGACGCTCTACAATCTACAATCGGTGTTTTCTTTTTTTTTCTTTTCTCCCAATCGAGTGAGGTCTCAAATCTACAAAGGGGAAGATGCAAAAATTGCTCCGAGCTCCGAGGTCGGGGATAAGATTCTATCTACTTATTCTCTTGGAACAATAAAAGATAATCGACATCGAAGGGATCAGTACTTACAAGGGACTCATGTAGTCCGGCTCGAAAATTTTGATTTCATCGAAACTCTGCGGGAATGTACATACGGGAAGAGCACACACATTGAGGTATGTAAAATACTATTTTCTTCAGCGTTAATTCGCAGAGGGGAATACCTGATTCTACCGTATTATCCGTGCGATGTCGATTTTGTGCCAAAACTGCTATTTTTTTTTATCAAAAAATTGATACACGTCCACGTTACACGCAATTATTACCTACAAAAAAAACAAATAATCGAAAAGGAAATTGCGCTTTTGTATCGCGCAATAAATCTCTATCAATAGTTTTATTCAAGAAGTACTTACAAGTGATCTGTTAGGGGAGGAGGGGAGAGATAGAGCGAACCATTGTTGTAAATATGAATTATTATATTTATATGATCGATATAGTACATGAATATCGCGATTACACTTTTACGCTTTTTCTTCCGTCTCTAATTTCTGTTCGACGTGCAGTCTTTGTTTGCGTCGCTTGTACGTGGATACGGTTAATATTTTCTCGCGTGTGGGTGCTGTGCGCTCGAGTTTACATCGTTCTTTCTTACTGTGTTTCTTCATAGCCAGCACACAGTGTTTGTCAAAAGTGTGGAAACCCTTAAATAATTTTTGTAAAAATGGAAATATAAAAAAATGGTAAAACACAATTTTTTGATTTTTCAAAAAAGTCTGGTACTCCCCCTGATTTTAAGTAGCCTTGAGAACAACTGATTTTAAGTAGCCGTGTGAACAACTGATTTTAAGTAGCAGTGGGAACAATTGATTTTAAATAGCCGTGAGAACAACTGATTTTCAGTAGCAGTGAGGACAACTGATTTTAAGTAGCCGGTTGATCCTGGATAACACTAAGTGCATGAAATTTCGAAATTTGAACGGCCGCCATTTTTAATGGGGGGGGGGTCGTAGCGACTTAAAATTTTAAGGGTGTGTTTGTTATGAAAAGACCTTTCAAATGAGCCCCCACTCGACCCTTAGTCCAATTTAAAATTTTCAACCCCCCTTTTACCCCCGCGTACCAGGGGGTGGGGAATCATCGGTATCCATGTCATAGGGTAGTTTTTTTGAAAAATCGAAGCACGTGTTTTACCGTTTTCTTATATTTTCATTTTTATAAAAATTATTTAAGGGTTTCCACACTTTTGACAAACCCTGTATAATCAGGTACGTGGTAACCGGACGCGCGTATAAACGTCGCGATACTAAACAGAGAAGTACATACTATATTCCATACCTGTTTCATTTGAGTATAAGAAAAACGTAAACATTGGTGACAATTAGACGATATTTGGTATTAGATATAAGGTATTAAGAGGTATAAGAAAGAATTTTGCAAGATATATTTGAAATAAAAATAATAACATAAAGAAGAAAGACTGTTTATCGTCACTGTAATGGTTTTGTCGGACAACGCGTACGCAGTCCCCACGATCAAAAATATGCGTAGTTACAAGAATCACATCTAACCGCCACGGAGGCGAACAATAGACTTTATCAAGAAACGTGGGCAATGGACACTCGTACAAAACATGCGGTACCATAGACAACCCTTAAGAAAAATTAGTTTAAAATATTCAAATTAACTTAAAGTTACTTATAGTTACCTAAAGTTACAAATTACTTATAGTTAACTATAAATTACTTACAGTTAACTATAAATAATTTTAAGTTAATTTGAAAATTTGAAGTAATTTTTCCCAAGGGAATGGCCGCGTTCAGCAGAAAAGACTGCTTACTAAGCGCTTAGTGATTATTATCTATGATTGGAGTATTCTTTCAGAATTCTTTCTTTAATGAATCCAGAAGAATGAACCAATCGAGAACGATAATCACTAGGCGCTTAGTAAGCAGCTTTTTCTGTTAAACGCGGCCATTGGCTGCGTTCAGAAAACACAACGGTTGTATGTACATTGTTCTTCATGACTTTTAAACCATATATCGAACTCCTCAGTACTCATTTTGCTTTTCGATAAGGCACAGACTTGGCAAAAGCTTGATTTAACCACTAGCATGTGGTACTTTGTTGCTGTATTTACCAATCAAAGTAGTCACACCAAACCGTGAACTAAAACCTCGTTTTTTCCAAGTTCCATCCCCTGATACTGTTAGATTCGATGATGAAAATTCTGTTTCAGAAGTCATTTATTTCTCCTCATCGACGGCTCTTTTCAGCACGCAATCGTAGCTGCAGCCGCGCAATGAAAATTCTTCATCATAGTAGAATAACACGATGTTGAAAGCCCAAGCTCGATATCCATTATCCCACAACATAAGTTTACGCCTTCTCTGCCGATTCCTAACAATCGTATTGCCACCATAATCAGACGATTGATCTCAAATGCTTTCTCGATAAACGGAGGAGAGTTTATATATATATATATATATATATATATATATATATATACTATAAATCGCACGTACATTGCAATTGAATTTTGAAACCCAATCCACGAGGGTTGGTTTTAGTAAAACAAACTTCGTTTTTGCAGGTTTTGCAAATAACAGATGCACTAATTGTAGCAAAAACAGGGTAAAAGTTTAATATACAATAACCGTGTTGTATATCAAGCGGAATTTCCTTGTCACCAGTTCTCCGCAACTTCTCTGCTGTTGTACTTGTAAAACTTTCACTTGTTTCTCCTACTGTATACTGATTTCCTCTGAATTTTCTTCTTTTAGTTCTCTTCTCACTGAACTCCGACACGCGCGAGAGATATTAGTTTTCGTACCTTTTCTTTCCTGCTACTCATTTTTGTAAGGAATGACCTTGCGATTGTCGATAAAAGTATTGTCGAACGGCTATGAAGAATTATGAATTCTGTTTATGATAACCACATGGATCTTCTCATCAGGATTCAATAAACCAAAATCTTGATTAACACACACAACACAGTTTCTATATTTCTGCTTCAAGCACCGAACACTAACAGTATCTTAATGATACGCTTTTCACAAGTATAACGGTGACAGTATAGATAACCCGTATATCGTTTTGGATTCACAACGAACAAGTTTCGATAATCTTGCTTCTCAAAGAAACACTACGGTAATATAAGAAATAATAAATTCTTACGACTGGCCTGATAACAACATACCATCGAACCGGACGAAAAGCTCCGTTTTAACCACCGCAAGAATACTTCGCTTCCGATACAGTTTTTTATATAACTAGGCAAACTCACGAGAGCTCATGAGAAAAGAGCAGCAAAGCGAAGAAGCAAAGCAAAGCCAAGCGAAGGGAGAAAAGAGCTTCGAATCGCCGCCTAGGAATATATATACTCGTATAGGTGTCACTGTAGTAGACGCGGCGGATGTCTTTTTAGCGCATTGTAATTCCCATAGATGTCGGAATCCGCGTCATATCTTACAGCTCGACCACTCTGAAGATAGCATTCGACTCGAATGTCTTGGCTCTTGGCCAGGGAGTACAAACTCCTCTCTTAGAAATCGAGGGTTTTTGGAGCGCCACCATGATACGTATCGGAACTGGTGGAACTAAAATGGGTCACGTGATATAGAGTGGGGATACGCGCTACATTGAAATCCAGTACACATACATATAAATATAAGGCCTATTCTTTTTCGCTGCACTGCTGCACTGATGCAATATATTAGAGTGAAACAAATATATATTTCTCACTCTAACTTATTGCATCAGTGCAGCAGTATAGCGAAAAAGAACAGGCCTTATATACAGGGTGTTATAAAAGTCTGGGAAGAGCAGAATAACTCGAAAAATATGAGTCCTAGAAAAATGCGAAGTACTGGGTTTTTATGATTTTTTCCTGGCTATCTGACGGTGACCTTAGATTTGACCTGGATAATGACCTTGAAGGTCATTTCAAGGTCAGGTCAATTTTTTAAATAGGACCCCATACTTTTGACCCCAGAAATAAAAAGAGCGGAAAATTCGGCGTTTGGATATGACCTTGAACACTGCCAAATTTGACCTCTGAAGTTCACATAAAGGTCTAAGCTTGTTTCAGGCTGAAAACGCGAATATGTTCGAAAATGCACCTGCTAGGGAGCAATGTTACGCATAAGAATAAGAATGTAGAGGTCAACGAGAGACATTCAGCCGTGACCTTGCCCTTATTCTCAAGGTCATGAGTTAAGATTATTATTAAGGTCAAACCGGACTTTTTTAGGGCTGAAAATCTATACTTTTGACCTAAAAGTGTCAAGCTTGAAAAATTTTATGTTCGGATATGACGTTTTCAACCTTGACGTTGTTCTCGAAATTATGCGTTTTACGTTACTTCACTGATCGTGAAGTCTACTGAAAGTAAAGCGTCTCGGAACCCGACTACTGAAGGCAAGGTGTCTCAAACCCGACCACTGAAGGCAAGGTATCTCAAACCCGACCACTTAAGGCAAGGTGTCTCAAACCCGACCACTGAAGGCAAGGTGTCTCAAACCCGACCACCGAAGGCAAGGTTCAGTTAGTCCCCGACCACTGAAGGCAAGGTGTCTCAAACCCGGCCACTTAAGGCAAGATGTCTCAAACCCGGCCACCGAAGGTAGAGCATCTTGTAACTCGGCCTGAGATTAC